AGCCTGCTTCTCCCTCTCCCACTCCCCCTGCTTGTGTTCCTGCTCTTGCTATCTCTCTCTCTGTCAAATAAATAAATAAAATCTTTAAAAAAAAAAAATCTGGCCTAATATCAGCCGTCTTCTCTTCTTTGGAAAGCATCAAGAGGTTGATTATGTGGAATTCACTAACTTGTTTTAAATATATGAATCTTCATGATGTAACAGATTACAGAGATGAAAGTCATACACTGACTTTTGAGAATGAATATAATTTGCCCCCGTGGAGTTTTTCTGGAGCCTTATTGCTTGGTCTCAAGTTCAGAATTTCCACCGTTCATGTGGATTCTTGCAGGAACTACCTAAAATATGTATACGCTGTTTTAGGTAGAAAAGTTTTTTAAATTCAGAGCTCTCACATTAATTAGGTTTACTACTTTTAGATATTTGAATTCTACTTCATATTTCTTCTGTGTCCTAAAGGACCGATTTCTCCATTAAGGGTTGATGGAAAGGGGTCTTTGTGTCCCAAGTTATTTAAAATTAAGGCTTCTTGGGTTTTATTTTCAGCTTTAAAATGTTGAAGGGTTATGAAATGTTGAAGTATATGTATGGTTTCTGGAATTGCTAATTAGGTATATTACTTATTAGCACCCTAATTTTACCTTCAGGAATTATCTTGAAATGCTGCTTATTCGATCTTCTTGTAGGAAATCTTCAAAGACCATGTAGTACATTTCCATCTGTTTTGCATGGCAGTCTGTGCTTAATAAGTACTTAAATGCACATTGAATAAATGACACATAACCTGGGGATTATAACTTTATGGGAAGAAACGAACTGGTTTTAAACCTAATTTCCTAGATGTGTGACATGTGAGGGGGAGGGAGAGCTTTGTGTGGGTTGGTTCGGGTTAGGAAAAGCAGGTAGAGTTCTCCAGCTCCCAGCTCACGTCTCCCGTGTGCGTCCACTCACACCCATACTCCAGTTTCCTGTGTTCACAAAGTCAAGTGCTGTACTGGAAAAATGAATTGAACTGAACTGTTCTAGTTAGACCCTGAGGAAAATCATGCCCTTTGCTGGGCCTGTTTCCTTTACTTAGAACATTATCTAGAAAAGAAGGGTGTAGAGTTCAGTCATTTAAAAACATTTTCACTAGTGGGAGCCTTTCTTTAAATGAAATCTTACCAGAAGCCCCCTGTGTAAATGAGATTTTCAAAACTTGCTCTTTGGGGTGGGCGAGCTGTGGGTTGGCACACACGATGGGCTCAGCTTCTCCCTGCCTTCCTTGGGCGGCACTGAATTACCTTCTAGACACCGTGTCTGCTCTTATGAGCAGCTTCAAAACCACTGGCCTAGGACACATGGCGGGATTTGAGCGGTTTTATAAAATATAGTACTGATTTAGTATTCTGCACTACCAAAATCTTTTTTAACCAAGATCCCAGTAAGCATATATCCTGTATTTAAAAATGGAAAGACGTTAGCTAAATATCAAAATGCCTTGAGAAGCAAGTTGATATTGCTGAATGTTTTCTTTTACAGCAAGAATAATAACAACTTTAATGACCACCAGTGACTTTACAAGTAAGTACCCCCTTTTTTGAATTGTGCCCCCTTTGTGCCTCCTTCATTTGTAAATTGTCTTATGGTTTCACGGATCAGCTTGCTCCACTGTCCAGTGAGAGGCCAGCAAGTTTATTCCTCGACATCAGCCCCACTTACGGGACTAAGCATCTGCGTCTTGTAGTTTCTGGGATAGAACATGCAGCACAAGGTAGGAGAGTCCTATCCTTGTGGAGCCTCCGATCTTGCAGTGGATGGAGATGGACAGTGGGATGGAGATGGACATCACGCAACTAACTACTAAAGAATGCTGGGAAGTGTGTTTTGGAAGAGTAGGACAGGATCTAAAGGGGGAATCTGACCGAGTTGGAGGGGCCCAGGGTGGTGAATTTGAAGGGTGAGATGGGGAGAAGGGGAAGAGACGGTGATAGGGAGCAGCCCGCGTGCAGGTCATGAGCAGGGGACACATGGCTTAGCCACAGACAGCGAATGGGAGCTGAGTGAGTGTGAGTGTGAGGACGGGGTCTACTGAGCTGACAATCATTTGACCCCCACATCCTTGTTTTTTTTAAAGGGGGAAAAATACTTGGATTGACGTAAAAAGAATTTAGTTAATTCCTTAGGCTGTTTTCCACTCCCAAGTTGAGCATATATATTTTCGGGGAAAATGATCAAAACAAATCATGTCACCTGTTCTGTGAAGACTAGGAACATGTCCCTGGCACATAGACCCTTTAAGTAAGCGAACTGTTATTTGAGAAATATTGCTACAGAGCAGTGGGTGCATATGCTGGTCCCTTTGCAGAGGCTTATCTTAGGGTCAAACACCTCCCAGGGCTCTGAGAGCAGCATTAAAACTATTCTGGTCAAAGCCTGAACTTGGGTCAGGTGGGGAAAGGGAAAGACGGGTCTCAGTCTTCTCCACAGGATCCGAAGGACTCTCTGTATGGGAAGAAGAGTCAAACTGTAATTAACCAACAAAACAAACCCACATATTTAAAAGTTTGAAAGATTGAGAATGTTCTAGTTGTAATTTGCTTTGTATTTAAAGTGACACTTGTTCTGAAAGTGATCAGTGTATCTGGGAATCATCTTTTAAAGACAGTTCAGCTGATATCTTATGTGTTTTACAACCACAGAGATACATTAAATCTGATAAATCTTATTTATCAGAAGAGTGTTCATCAGGTCACTTATGGTAAAGTTTTTCCCCCCAGAAATATTTAGAACCAAAGTTGTTCAAAACCTCTCGTGATGCGGAGTTCCAGGTTTCGTTGGCAGGCTGAGGGGCAGCTAAGTAGGTTTCTGCTTGGAGCAGGAGGTGATTTTGTTTTAGGACGGGAGAACAGTACCTGTTAATACATACTTTTTCTTTCTGGTTAATTTCAGTTCTTGTGCGATTTGTGATCATGCTTGCTTTGAACCTGTGGGTAACAGCCACAGTACGTCACTACAGGACGACAGTTGGAAAGGCTGAATGATGGATGCGTTGCTCCAACACACAAAGTGGTTTCCTAATAACCAAAGGGGAAAATAAGCTCACTGCTAAATCAAGGTCTTCTATAAATTTAGTCAACTGTTTCAGAAACTTTGAAGCTGGAGGTATTTTAGACATGAGCCACTTAGACACTTGTTTAGAAACGTTGATTCCCTCCCTCTCCTCGGCCTCAGGAGGTGGGGGGCAGGGCTCAGACACCTGCAGGTTGAGCATCATGATGAAGTTCTCTCCAAAGAGCTAACTACATCTGGTTTTCAGCTTTCAGAATCTTGTAAGAAATAAATCCTCTCCATGGCACATTATGAATGGAGTGGGATTTTTCCCAAAGTCAGAAGTGGAACTGTGGTAAATTACTAGGGTTCACTTTCTGGGACTGTTTAATTTTAACACAGATTTAACAGGCTGGCCTTACTGTATCATAATACAATATAGTACCTCCTTATGCTATAAGGACATCGAGGCAAGCAAAAATTGGCTTGAGTTCATATACCAAAGTTAGTCCTTTAACCTCATATAGTGCCTTTAAGTAATTCCTAAGGAAAGGTACTATTAGCTGCAATCTCTACTTAGGATGAGGCAGTCCCGATGAACTTTCTGATTCAAGCATAATGCTGCCGTTTTTAAAAGGGTCACACCTTTAAAAAAAAAAACACAAACACATCTTGTCCATTAATACATACAGTAAAGGGTATTGCTGGGTTCTGCCCAGTTCTTACGGATTTCATTCTCATTGTATCATATTCTAAACATAAGATTATTGGATAGTGCATTTTACTATAAAAGTTTATAAACTCTAAAATTTAAAAACTCTTTACCCTTATAATTGAATGGCATTATTCTGTTATATGTAATAAGTCAATAGTGTTTGTTAGAAAATGTTTTAGTTTCCTATGTCAAATAAAACTTTCATATTCTGAACTCTGCCGAGTCTTAAAACTGTCAGTTGCTTTAAGTGATTAGTTTTAAGTTACATAAAATGCTGTTTTAAAAATACAAACTGTGGTTAATGTTTTAGAACTATCGCTTGGAACCAGCAGGAGGAGAAACATCTTTTTGGTATATAAAGATAAAAAATCATTCATTCTGTAGCTTTTAATCATAGTTGTCATTTTTAAAAAATTTTTTTATTATTATTTTTTAAAGATTTATTTATTTGAGAGAGAGAGAGAATGAGAGAGCACATGAGAGGGGGGAGGGTCAGAGGGAGAAGCAGACTCCCTGCCGAGCAGGGAGCCTGATGCGGGACTCGATCCAGGGACTCCAGGATCATGACCTGAGCCGAAGGCAGTCACTTAACCAACTGAGCCACCCAGGCGCCCTTTTTTTTTTTTTAAAGATTTATTTGAGAGAGAGCGCGCGCAAGCCGGTGGAGGGGTAGAGGGAGAGAAATCTCCAGCAGATTCTCAGCTGAGCACGGAGTCTGACTCAGGGCTTGACCTCACGACCCTGAGATCATGACGTGAGCCAAAATCAAGAGTCGGAGGCTCAATCCACTGAGCCACCAGATAACCCTATTTCAAGGTAAGCTGTATGCCCAACATGGGGCTCGAACTCATGATCCCAAGATCGAGTCACATGCTCTACTAACTGAGCCAGCCAGGCCCCCTCATAGTTGTCATTTTCAAAAAAATCCAAGTGATTTTTTTTCATATGCAATTATAATCTAACCATTGGTATAAATACAAATTATGTGATTTCTGAGTCCAACAAATATTTAATTTAAATACACTTTTTAATTAGAACTTTATCATTGCTTAAAGCCTCTCTCTTAAGAACATACCATCTTAGGTGAAGAGTTCCCCATTTTTCCTTTTCAGGAGAAAAGGGAACAAATACTTGAACTATTCCAGATATCCTACACACATTACCATATTTAATCCTACAACAATCCTGTAACAAAACAGTCTCAACTTTACAAAAGATGAAAACACTGAAGCTCAGATAGAATAACCTGTCCCAGATCTGATAGCCAGTAAGTATCCTAAATAAGAACCCACGGATTACCAAAGAAATGCCTTCTTGAAAACCACCTCTCAGCACACTGTTCCTGACAAAACAGGCACCCTGCGTCCCTTCCTTATCCTGGACACTCAAATGAGATTGTTAGATTTGCATGTCCCTTAAAATACCTAAATCAAATCAGCGACAGACTCCTTGCTGAAATTCTTTTTTGTATTTCTCTATGGACTAAATGACAGGGTGGAGCATTCACAAGTCTGTAACCTTGCTTATGATTGTTTTGCTATACCCATCATACAAGGAAGGCAAAATTTTGGGGGATAAATTTTAGATGGTTGCAGCATTCCAGGACTATTCACAGGAAGAGTATGAAAATGCTTATGTCTTAATTTCTTTTATTTAATTTTTAATATAAAAAGCAGGCATAAAATACAATTACATTACTACAAAGATGCAACAAAAATTTTTAAAAAATCAGGGGATATGATTTCTGTTCAAAGGGGAGAGCTGATCAAATATTTATGATTATCTAAACCATGCAGTTCATAACTTATTACAATTCCAAACAAAACTCATTATTATGGGGAAGGGAATCGAGGACAGTCCCCCAAGCATAATACCCAGCACTGTCATACAGTGCGTCTTTTCAAAGTGCTTTATGAGTCAACTATGCTTATCTTCACGCCAGACGGAAACTGCAGCCTTCTTCCAGGGGAGGAGACGTGAGTCAGTAGCAGACCGAGAAACTCAGAAGTGACTTGCTCTCATAGAATATTAAACATGTTATTTAAAGCATGTTTCAGGAAGGTAATATAGTGTCTAAGCTTCTCTATTTTACCACGAGAATCCTGTAAGAATAGATTAACAACAGCAGCAAAACTTCTTAAACTGTGGTTTGGCAACCCATAGTACTTCTTTTTGAGGATCTACAGATAAACTGATACAAAAGACATCCTTCAGAGCCAGATTTGTGACTCTAGCCTACGTTAGTTTTAAAAACACTAACCTTATTTTAGATTTCTTGGTATCCTTTAGTTAGCTAAAGGCATTTAAAAATTTCAGATTTTTTTTTTTAAATCTTGCTTCTAGATAGCATATTTTAATACTTTTCAAAAATTCACTATACATTAATTTTTAACAGTAATACCGGCACTAGTTCTCCTTCTACTTCTGTCTCGCTATCCCCACTAAACAAAAGTAAAAAATCCAACTAAGAAAATCCCAGTATTCACTACTTCTTAGTTCTCAATAGGAGGTATTTATGGCTCTAGGAGAAATCAGGTGTGAAGAAATAAGCAACTTTTGGTCTTTTATCTGGGAACCTTTGGAGCCTCAAGAAAAAGAGAAGCTGGCACAAGATCAGGTTGTTAAACCAAGTCAATATTATATTTAATGAGTGTTGGGAAGAGAACATTTTGGATGGGTGTATGTATTCATGTATGTACATGAAACCAGCAACAGGGTAAAAACCAAATTCTTACCCAAGGTCAGAATTTTTATTAAGCGCATTTCCATTAGCTGGAGAAACCACCTTATAAACCCTTACGTTAAACCATATAATGTGAAGAATCTCCATGGGAGAGATTTTTTTCACCCCCTAGAATACCTTTTTTTGCCCAAAAAACCTCACATTAATTTTCCTTGTAGAGTTGCATCACACCATGATTCTCCGTATTCTCTAATATATACAGCATTCAAAATTTAACTTTTGCCATTTTTACTCAAATATTTCAATTACTCATGTGTAAACTTCAAATTATTTCACCTTAATAAAGTTTATTAAAAATATATATATATATACTCTCCAATCAGAATAATATGATAGAACCTCCCATAGTGTAACAAAATCTTCATATAAAATATTAATTCAGTCTCCTTTTAACAAGTCTAATGAATGGAAATATTTATTCTATATAAATTTTATATATTTTTCATTTTAAAATCTTACTTAAAAAAAAAAAAAAAAAAAAGGCTGTGCCCTCAAACCAGAACTGCAGAATATCCCTGTGAGGGAAATGGCATGCATCTCTGGTCTTAGCACAGATAGCATGGAAGAGTGCAGACGGGATAATGAAAGAATAACAAGATTCAGTTTTAGTACATCAGTAGGCCAAAGGCCACTCTTCAGTTTCCACAACAGTATCTGTATTTTGGGGGTCTAAGTCTTTAAACATTTCTACACTGACCCCAGAGGGAATCAATGAAAAATGTCTACTTCCTTCATCAAAATATTAGATGATGTATTTCAATATCACACCAAACCCTGTGTATGTGTATGTATATAAAGAGACTGATAAAAGACTATATAATTTTTTTAAACTTGATGCTTATCATTAATGCATACTGTAGCAGTATAAAACACATTTTTCTGGGATAATGAGAAAACTAGCAGAAATGGTCCTGCATAACCTATAACTTTAACATAATTTTAAAAATAAAAATCAGGAGCCTCTGAGGCTACTTCTTCCCAGTTACCAGTTTTCTTAGCCCAATCCTGAAATATTGCCATATACAGTTATGTGTTTGAGGGATCACATTTAAATATTTAAAATATATCTACAGTATGTCTTAGTTTTCTTTATATTTGAGATAATCTTAGAATCTTGAGTGTGAAAATGTAAAAATAGTCACAAATGTCTCTACCAGAAATAAAAACACATCTAGGGTAGCCAGCAAATTCAAAGCAAAGCAAACATTTCATAGTCACACACCAATACTGAGGTCTGTAAGAAGAGTGGGATGAATAATAGATATACATAAAAGATATATTAGTTCCAATAGTATCCATTGTTTCTATCACCAATACTTAAAAAAAAAATTCTGTTATACAATCAAAATAGGCTGACATTGATAAGTATTACATGTAAAAATAGTGCACTATTTTTCTTTTGCAAAGCGAATTTGCATCCTAAGAGCTGGTAAACACTTTTTTTCAAAATACAGAAAAGGATGAGACTTTAAAAAAAATTAAATTAAGGCATTCACATGGGAAAAGTTGCCTATCATGAAGCATTAGGAAATTGATATAATTAACGTCAAACTTCCTGTTACAGTAACCGCTTAAACATGAACATGCAGCTTCCATGGGGTATACACAAATGAGTGATATAAACTCCAACATTATGGCTTTATACAAGTGCATAGTTGCAAATGCAGTAAGTTATGATATCTGATTAATGTGTATAAAAAAATAAAATGGGGCATTTGAAGAACCCTCTTGCAGTATTACAGTACTATATATATATATAGTGTGTGTGTGTGTGCATATATATATAGAGAGAGACACACACATACATATGCACACACACAGTCTAATGGTCACTTCTTAAAGATGCAGTCTCTATCACTGTAGTGGAATCCATTCCCAGACTCTTCTGGTAAATGTGCTGGTGAAATCTCCCTGTTGATGCTGAAAAGATGATTTCTTTAAACTTTAACTCTTCTCAGTCCTTTTGTGCAATGTAGTGTGAGTGACTGCCAAGAGAGCTTTATGGAACAAGTTTCGAAGAGCTGCATATGCTATTCTTACTCTATCAACCAATCATTGTTGGTTCAACTTGCTGCTCCAAAGGAGCCCAGAAAATCTCCAAGATTTATAATTTATATTGCAGAAATAAAGGGAAATATATATATATATATATGTATGCGTGTGTTTGAGTATCAGTCTCTCAGGAAAATACAGCTTTTTAAGAAATTTTGGGCCATCATATTTCAGTCTTGTTTTAACTGGAAGAATATGATCACCTTGAATAATGACTGCATTCATAGAAGGCAGCTAGCTGGAAAAAAAGGAAAAACAAAGTTAGTTGATACAGTAAAATAATTTAAAAGATTGTTAAATTCTTTGAAAAAGCATTCCATTTATATAATTAAACTTGTAGTCTTCCAACTCCTATACTTTTAACACCTAAATCATGCATAAAACGTATTTACTACATTACTTTTCTTATTTTTAGGTACATGCAATTATATTTACATATTTCTATATTTTCTACAAACATGACACACAAGTTTTAATACGGTTAACTGGCTATTAGAGTTAGATAATACATCACTGAGTGACTCAAGTGAATGTAAGTCTGACTTGGAGATTAACCGCTAGCTGCCTCATGTAGCTGAAAAGAACAGAAGGCTTATGGACCAGGTTCTACTTGACTGTTTGACTCTTAGTCACATTTTTTAAATCTATAAAATGGGAACAAACACGTTGTAGTAGTAAATATATGTAAAAAGTACTCTGTATATCTTGGTTATAAATACCTCCCAATAATATATGATTTAAGTCTATTTTTGCAATATGCTTACTTAGGTTAAGACACACATTACTTCTTTTAAATCCATTCTGTATAAAAGGTTTGACCATGAGGTTCAATTTTCACTCAAATTTCCTTGAGCCACGGTTAACCAAACTATGTGTTCTACAAGCACAAGAACTTTCACAGCACATCAATAAGCATTCTTCAGCAAGAGGAACATTAACTTTTCACAGAAAGCAAACATCTCACAGCATGACAAAGAAAAGCGAAATCAGAAACAGTATATCACAGCACTTACTAGACTTACAAACTATTTACGGCTTCAATTCTTGCACGTTAGAGAGAAGGAAGGAGAGGGGGATGGAGGGAGGAAGGAATCCCATGCTATGTTCACAAACTAATACAGTTGTAGGAACTTGAAAACACTGTAAATTTTACTTCTCTGAATATGGCTTCTTTGGAATGAACAAAAAGTACCAGAATTAGCTTCTTTTGTTATTTGTACATGTTCATTCCTAAGATAAAAAATTGTAATTCCAACTGTATTGAAAATATATAGCCAATAAAGATTCTGAACATAGCATTTCACTTTTATAACTTGACATGGAAATTTCAGTTAGAAACTTTTCTGAAAACTACTTTTCAAATACATACTATTAAAAACAACTTAATAAACTTTCAAAACTAGTCAAAAACAATGAAAACCCAAGTGCAAATCACATGCGCTACTTCGAAATACTAACTCATTTTTCATTTTTTGATTTACCCCATTTATTTCTTCAGAAATCAAAAACATCGTCATCATCATCACCACCATCAACATCATCAAATGACCAATCCCAGTCTTTAAATGCCAAATCAAGCAATCTGCAATAGGAGGTTTGCAAATTCACATTCTAGCACTCTTTAGAAATGGCAACTTAATATGATAATTATCTAGAAATCACACTTTGTGCTGTGAAGATTTTAACTCTCCCTTCATCAATAACAACACAGTCAAAATTAAGATGGTAGCACACAGGGAGATCTTCTTTCTCTTTATATGTAAGTGCATATAACATTAGCCCGGTCTGATTTCTAGAATACCAGAGATCTGAAGACAGGTAATATTTAGGGATAAGATATGAACTTTTCCCCACTGGGCTCAGATGAAGATGTAACCATCTTGATGCCCAGTTTGATTTGTATGAAAGCTCAACATTTGTCAACACTCCCTTCAAAAAAGGACCCAGATTGTCAGCTCACATTTTTCTAGAACAGTACCACAAGTCCCAGTTTAAAGAGACAGTAATACTAAGAATGCAGCTTTCTCAATTCTATCTGGACACAATATGCTCAATGGGTCACCAACAGTGATGCTCTCTATGAAAAGCCATGATTAAGAGAAAAACCACAGGTATATAAGCATCATTTGCAACTTATCTTGGCTGAATAAACTGGACTTAGAACAGGGTTATATGTGGTCTTTTCTTTCCAATCCAATCCAATCATCTAATATTGCTATCATCTTTATTTTTAAAAATAGGTGTAACTTTCATTGTTTTAACTGTGAGGTTCATGAATCAACTTATGCCAAGAGCTCATTTAGTCCCCAAAATCTCATTTGTGACCTCAACTTTAAAGTTGGTTCTTGGGGCACCTGGGTGGCTCAGTCGGTTAAGCGTCTGCCTTCAGCTCAGTGCATGACCCTGGAGTTCTGGGAGTGAGCTCTGCGTCGGGCTCCCTTGTCATCGGGAGTCTGCTTCTCCCTCTCTCTCTGCCCCTCCCCCTGCTCCTTCTCTCCCTCTCTCTCAAATAAATCTTTAAAAAAATAAAGCTACTTTTTAAACTTGAATTTATATGGTTTACTCAATGCTATTTATAATGCATATTTGCAGGTGTTATACCAAGAGATTCTGATATAACTGGACTGAAGGGGGAGTGGGGTGCAAATATCTGCATTTTTTAAAAAAGATTTTTATTTATTTGAGAGAGAGAGCACAGGCAGGGGGAGAGGGAGAGGGAGAAGCAGGCTCCCTGCATCGGTAGCCCGATGCAGAGCTTGATCCCAGGACCCTGGGATCATGACCTGAGCCGAAGGCAGACACTTAACTGACTGAGCCACCCTGGTGCCCTGAGTATCTGCATTTTTAAATAAAAAATCTGAAGTGAATTCTAATGCATCTGGTTGACTTTGGTAATCACTGACAGAGTATGTTGATAGATGGTTACCTTAATTGAAAGGAAATAAACCAACTCAAATTACTCTATTTCAAAATGTGCTAAATGTAGAATATATCACATTTTTCTAGGCTTACACAGACAGTAACTTATAGCTAAGGTACTGCTTGGGAGATTGAGATGAGTGGGCTGTCCTGGGTGTTCAAGCCCCAATTTTGAAAAATTGCATTTCATACCCTTCCAAAACCTTTGAAGTGTGTGTGAAGTGCACACCCGTGTCACAGTTTTCAAATTTTTAAAAGTTTGGTCACTAGGCTGTTAGCACAATGCCTGGCGAGACTTCCCTTAAAGCCCCCTCAGCCCCTGCCAGTCAGCCATCTAATTCTTGACATTTCAACATGAGAAACTTTCTCTAATTTGGTTTCTTCCCTCCATTTTCACTGTCAGTACCCTAGTGAAGGAGCTCATTAAGTCAACACACACCAGTCTCTTGCTGAAAGACTTCTATCTGAAGAACAAAATAAAAACTCCCACAGCATAGTGCACTGGGTCCTTTTCAATCTGGTTCAACGTTTTCTCTCCAGTGACATCTTCTGCCACTCCCTGTCATTACCCTCTCCCCACTCTAACCCAATACAATGTTACAAACATATAACACGGAAGTAATTTTGACAACTTGGTACCTCTGCACATAACATTTTGCCTACCATTGTCTTTTCCCTTATTTCTTTGCCTGGAAAATTACTGAACCTCCCTTTTTGAAGATCTTTCTTAAGAGATGCCCTCAGGCAGAATTCTCCATGCTTTCCTTTGTTCCCCTGTAACACTCACTCACGCCTCTATTATAAATAACATTTAAAAAAGTACCGTAACTATCTGCTTTTCTATCTCCTCCATTTAATTGATCAGTGGGTACACACTGCAGGCCTGTGAAACTTACTGCCAAAGACTGCTTTGGAAAGGAGCATTAGAACTTTGAGTTCTGCTAGAAGTACGCTACACTGCCTGTTTCTTCACAGGCTGCCAATAGCACGTTTCTTAATCCTTACCAGTTTGGCAGGTTTTACATTTTACTTTTAACTTAATTTTAACTTCTTTGCTTAATAATCAAGTTGATCACTTTTTCATATTTATAGTAATGCCTGTGTGTTCCTCACTGATTTTTATATTGGGAAGAGGCAATCTTCTTTTTCTTAATGACTTATATAAGAACTCTGTATAGAGAGATATAATCCATCTTTCTCATTCACATTGCAAATATATATATGGTGTTTTTAAAATTACAAGGCTTTAATTTTTGGTTACTCAATCATTAACTTTCTTTCTTTGCTTTTACTCTTAGAAGTTCTTCAATCCAAGATCAGATACATATTCACCTATTTTCTTCTGTGTCATTTAATGGATTTATATTTGACATTTCAAGTTGTATACAGCTTTTTCATTTTTATCCAAATAATCAGTCTGTTAACTTTCTAATATTTATAAATGGAAAAGATCAAAACTAAAATAATGATAACATGGGGCACCTGGGTGGCTCAGTTGGTTGAGCATCCAACTCTTGATTTCAGCTCAGGTCATGATCTCAGGGTCATGAGATGGAGGCCTGTGTCGGGCTCCGCACTGGGCATGAGGCCTGCTTAAGAGTCTCTCCCTCTGCCCCTCCCCCCCATAAATAAATAAAATAATGATAACATAAGAGCTCTCCCTCACCCTTAAGTTGTAACTGTGTTGGCAATGCTTTATTTCTTAAAACTGGGTAAATGAGCATTTGTTGCATTTTTGCTTTATACCTTTCTGTGTGGCTTAAATATTGCATTTTAAAGAAGACCTTTAAAAGAAAAGTAATTAAAGAGAAATGCCCTCAGCAAAGACCAGCATTCTGTGTCCTACTTTGGAACAAAATAAGGATCTCTCCAAACTATCTTTATCACAAATGAACATTATATTCACAAATTTTCTACTTTTCCAGCATTATTTTTTTTTTAATTCAAAATTACCAAGAAAACATTCCTCTGGAATAGCATTTCTACACATTATGTTTTATAAGCTGTCAATTAATTCATTTCTACTTGTATCACTGTGAGGCAGTGCAGTATTACAGCTGAGAATGTAGGATCTGGAACTAGACTACCCAGATCTGAACTCATGGCTTTGTTGCTTATTTGGTGTGTGATCTCAGATACACAGAGCTTCTGTCCCTTAGCCTCCATGTCTGTTAAATGGAGACATTAAGAGCTAAATCACAGGGTGGTTATGAGGATAAATAATTTAGTACACTTAAAACTCACAGAAGAGTGCCTGGCATATAATATGCCCTGAAAAATGTTGTCTTCTACAATAGTAACTAACACTTGTTTAACTATCACTTCCCTATAGAAAAAGGGAAGTGCTGCAAAGAGTTAAAAGGAGAATCAGAACCAGGAATGTCACAAAAGCCAAAGGGAAAAAAAATGTAATGGTGTGGTCATTAACAAACACCGAGGAAAAGTAAAAAAAAAAAAAATCAGATGATTATTTATAGGTATTATGTTTTAATGCATAATATATATAAATACATTTGATGATTTTGATAAATGTCTAACAAAGCCAAACATTTGTCTTAAGAAAGACACCATGTGAGTTAGTTCAACTAAAGCTAGACTATACAAAGAGCTACATATTAAATTACTGCTGATATCAACCAGAAATGCTGTTCCTCGGTGGTCCTGGACGATCCTTTCACAGCTCTACTAATTGGTCTACTGGAATGTTATAAATTAGTGGAATGTTAAAGGCCATCAAGTCCAATGCTTGACTCCCCTTCTAGAGCCATGCTGTTCTGTCAGACTACATACACATGACAAATTGAGGAGGGTGCTCTTTCCCAGTGTCACCAAGCAGTCACCTGAATCAGGTACTAACACTGTTGGTGACAGGGCATGCACTATTCTAGAGCAAGCAAAGTCTTCCAATTTTGGAAATCTCTGACTGCCTGATACTTTTCCCTTGCTGAGTTACAAATGTGCCTCTCTGCACTCATCTACAGAGAAGTCCTCTAAATCTTTACTGCTGTTTACCCTCTCCCATCCCTCCAAATAATTTCTTCAGAAGGCTAAATATCCTTAGTTCCTTCACTTGCTGCACATGTAACACTTTCAAATGATCCATTACTCCCTCTGTTATTCTATTCTGTATACCCTCCAATTTGTGTATACTACTCTTAAAATGTGACACCCAAAATGAAATGCAAACTTTAGGGTGATTCATGTGAGACAGACACAGATCCAATTTTATGAATTAATGAAGCAATGGAGTCACAGATGTTAAAGACAATGGAAATAATGCTGCAGACACATAATAAAATACAAAACTGCATCTTAAATGTGCCCATCTTTATGCTTAAAATTTCAGAGTATATTAGACAAAAAGTGTTCACAAAAATACCCTATACATCTTAGAGTCAGTTTTGATATTAGTTTTATGTACATGCATAGTTGTGAGAGAAAGAAATCCCTATTACTTACTGTTGCTATGTAAAATGTATTAAAAAATCAATGAAGAATGATTCGAAGGGCAGGGCCAGAACTAAAACAAAACAAAAAGCAACAAAAATAAAAAGTAAATGTGCCTCCAAAAAACCAAAATGCTAAAGTGGGGAAGAAGGGGATGACAAAGTATTTATAAGTTAGTGAACATAAAAATTGTTACGTAATTGAAAACATGCCTCACTTAGTCTGAAATCCGCTTCCATAAACAAATTCTATGTGTTATCACAAGTAGTGAAATCATTAATTTATCCAATAGTACCAGAGAGTAAAATGTATTAAAGGAGTGGAGTTCTTACAGTCCTGAATCTGAAATTATTTGCCCTTCTAGAGTCTCAATCAAAAAGAAAGATAATAATACCTCTCTATTCTACTCCACAGGAATATTCTCAAGATCAAATGATAGAATATGCAGAAAGCTGAATGAGAGAACATATTATGGAAGCACTTTGGAAGCTGTGAAGCACTAGAGAGTGTAAGCTATTACAATAGCATAGCATCTATGCACTAATAGTTCTACAATACTAATAACAGAAATTTAATTTTTAGATGTTTTGCATATGGCACATGGAAAAACCTTCAGTGTCTTTGAATTCTTTGAATTTCTTCAGCTTAATTACTATCATATAATCACTAATTTTATAGTATTTAGTTTTCTCATACCTCACAGAAAAATTCAACATTTTCACTGCTGAAACACCAATTCTACCTTTGTCATTCTAAATTATTTCCTTGAGATAATAGTTTCAAGAAAAGTTTCATATAAGATGTTTGTGGTTAGAATGAAAAGATTTCTGATAATACAACCAATGCACATCATTATTCATACACTGAAGGTCCTGTGTTAGGGAACAAAAAGGATACCTGAAATTAGATACCTGATCTTATATATTTTATCCTTTAGCTAACTAACCAAATCTTCATGGTCATTTCAATGAATAGCAATATTTACAAATGCCATAGCTAGTAAGCCAAGAAATGGTTATTCTGAACCAAGAATGAAATGATTATTGTAGCCATATGAAAATAGTTCCATCAAAATGTTTTGTGCATTCATCATTATCTGGGAATTTATTCCCTAGTCCCAACTCCGCCTCAAATACAAGGAATGCCCACTTTACCCATTAGTTAATATTTGCATTTTTAAGACTGATCTATTGCTCTTTAAATCAGAAACAAGTCATTATTCTAAACTTATAGATGTGAATTAAGAAGATTTCGGTCCTGCTTCCCAAGTCATCTAACATAAAAGAGGCTTAAGAGGTTTGAAATACTAAACATAATGTGTGCACCTGACACAGGTCTGTGTGTACATTGTCTACTAAATCATATTTTAAATTAGTCAGTGTGCTTATAAAACCTTAAAATATTATGATTATATACATAAACATGACAAAAATGAGCCCTTTATATATTTTTGGTTGAATTTAATATATGTGTGTGATCTAGTAAACAAATTTGCACTACATTCAACTAAATCAATGAGTGAGCCATATACACTAAAACAATTTCAAACATTTGGTATTCCATGGTTCACTGACATACCGAGCAAAGGAACACTACAATTAGGAAAGTTTGTAGCCGAACATAAATAGCAAAATATTTTAAAAGATACAAACTTTTAATCACATTTTGATTTATTACCTTGGTTTGTTTGGGGCAAGCTGTCGACTTGGCCGTCTAATAGACTGGTTTTGTTGTATCTTCATCGAGGTTCTAGGAGATGACCGTGCAAAAGGGTCTGGAGCTGGAGGCTTTTTAGGGATCTTTTTCACCAACCGACTAACCCACTTCTGCTGTTCTTCTGTAGAATTTGCTAACAACAAAAGATTCTTTGCCGTCGAAATATCATAGTAAACTATAAAGAAATATTTGAAAAAGATTAATGTCTAAATTCATCTGAACATAAATAATGTTGATGAAGCAAGTAATTGACTATTTACCTTTGCAAGGTGCTATAATCTCCTCCTTTTTGTCCATGTGATCTTTATGACATTTAATATGGCAGCGCCGGCACTCTAAAGCAGGAGGAGGTTTAAACATATGCCACAGTGGCTTCATACAAGCCTCACAGTTGGTTGGGAAATGATAGAGGGTAGGAATAAATTCGTGTCCCTTATGGCAAATATAATTTGATTTTTCTCCCACTGGCTCCACTGGAAATTCTTGTTCCTTCTTACTTTCTCCTTCATTGGCATACAGAATCTATAAGCAGCAAAAAGAATAATGAGTGACTTTCAAAAGAAATTAGTTTTTATGTAGTAACAATTCCTACAGTGTAAATAAAATAATATTAGCCTAAATCATTCAATGAGAAGAAAATGCATTTGATGTTCAAACATTAGTAGGTTCTGTCTAATCAAGAGCTTCTACGAGAAAAGTCACTGGGACAGTGACTTGGCTCACATTTCAGAAAAAACCTATCTTGTTCAAACATGCCTACTTATTTTCTCCACGATATCTTGCTGTGTTTTAGCAATTTAATCTGCATAGGCCAAAAGGTAAATTTTCACTTGATGGGTGTTAAAACGTTTTCCTGGGAGGGAGTATTCAAAAGAATCCCCCGAAGAGATGTGGTAATAATACAGATTGATACTCTACGGTTCTCAAAAACAGACAGGCGCGTGATAACTGCAAACACAGCTTTAACGGAAAGATTTGTATTTGGAGAGCTGAGGAAGAAAAGAGGACAGGATGTATAATACACTCCAAATAAACATCATAAGCATACAGAAAATAAGTGGCCAACTCTCCCACAGTACACCAAGCACAACGGCTTTTATATAGAAGGAACTCAATAACTAATTATTGGTTTGACTAATTTTAAAATGGAAGTAGAGAGGGAAGAATTTGGCTTCACTTTAAATTGGAAGCAAAACGGTTACTGGGTGCAGAATTTAACTTCATAAGCAACTTTTTAAATTTTCTAGACAGCTAAGCATAAAACCAGAAACAGAAGAGAAAAAAACATCCTAACAGGGGTGCCTGGCTGGCTCAGTCAGTAAAGTGGGTAACTCTTGATCTTGGGGTTGTGAGTTCGAGCTCCACGTTGGGTGTACAGATTATTTAAAAATAAAAAAACTTAAAAAAAAAAAAAAGCAAATAAAATAAAATAAAAATGTCATAACGCACCTTGAAAACAAGGACAGCAAAGGCCAGAAACATGATATAAACACACTAAACTTCAACAAGTGCAATGGAGAGAGGAATGAAAATGTATCCAAACAGAATAAGCATGAAAGACACAGAAAAAACAAATCACCTTTAAATGGGACTAAAATTGAAAGGTAATCTAAAGAAGGCCCAAGAATAAAGAAATTTGCTATGTCTTGTCATACTAAGAACCTTAGTCTAAAGGTGAAAAAAAACAAAATAAATTCAACCAACCAAAACCAAAATAAAGCTATTTACCTGAAATATCCTTGGAATTTCTTTAGCATCTGCTCTGTATACATCTGTCTGTGTAACTGGTCGGACATGAAATAATTTGCTATAAAAGATTTTTAATAAAGTAATAAAATATTACCAAAGGATCAAATTATATTAGTTATCTATATTTATGTCAGAAGTTAAAACTGACTTTTGACCCATGTTAGAAGGTCAGAGGATACCTTCTTGGTTCTATTAATTCAATCACTCCTTGAGATTTTGAGTATTTCCAGGAACTCAGAAGTTTTCTAATTACTTTCAGAGAACAACATATTAAAGACCCATGAAATAAAGATGTTTCAGCTAACTCTATATCCCAGACTTTCATCTCTATGAAGCAAATACAAGAAAATGTAACAACAGTATAGTACGAGCTATACTATATGAGCATATCTATTTACATACTATATGAGTAATAAATAGCACTAATTTGACAAAAAAGGTCACATTAGTCTCCTTAAAAGAGAAAGTTTATAAATATTCTAATAAAAACACTTACTCTATATCTAAAACCATGTAAGGATTAGATTGTTCTTTATCTTGTTCACTGTCATAGAAAAGAATCTTCTTACTGCTTACAATCACATACTGTTAAAGAGAGGGAGGGAAGGAATTAATGACTAAAGTTAATATATATCTTATTTATTTTCTTTGAAAGTAAATTCTACAGCAATAAAAATCTTATAAAATACTTAAGTTAAATAACTAAGAAGTTCTCAATATATCCTTAGAAAAGTCTTCCTTAAAATAACAATAGGGGCGCCTGGGTGGCTCAGTTGGTTAAGCGACTGCCTTCGGCTCAGGTCAGGATCCTGGAGTCCTGGGATCGAGTCCCGCATCGGGCTCCCTGCTCGGCAGGGAGTCTGCTTCGTCCTCCGACCCTATCCCCTCTCATGTGTTCTCTCTCTCTCATTCTCTCTCTCTCAAATAAATAAATAAAATCTTTAAAAAAAAAAAAAAATAAAATAACAATAAATTTAGTTTGCATACATTTTAAATAAGCAAATTGGAGAGGAAATAAATACAAATATTTTTTGGATTGACTTAGCTTCAAAATCCAGTAACACAGGTAACCTTATTGCTATGGTTTGAATGTCTGTGTTCCGCCCAAATTTTTATGTAAAACCCTAACACCTAATGAGATGGTGTTAGCGGGAGGGGCCTTTGGAGGTGAATGAATAGGCCATGAGAGGAGAGACCTCCTTAATGGGATTTGTGCCCGTATAAAAGGGGCTCCAGAGATCCCTAGCCCCTTCCCCCATGTGAGGACACAGCAAGAAGTCTGCAAACTGAAAGAGGGCCTTCACCAGAACCCAACCATTTGGCATCCTGATCTTAACTTCCAGGCCCCAGAACTGTGAGAAATAAATTTCTATTGTTCATACACTACCCAGTCTGTTTTGTTACAGCAGCCTGAATACACTAAGACATTTACCAAAAATGAACATCATAATATCAATAAATCATAGTAACAGAGGAAAAGAAATTAATAGGTCTTTCTATCATACCCAGAGTTGTTTTCCCACTGAAACAGCAAAACACCAAGGCCAACAGACTTATGTTTTCCTAACACCAAAACCTGTTTTATTAATTATGATGATGAAAGGTTTTTTTTTCCCTTCACAAAGATACATTTTATCACATCATTCCAAGTCAGGAAGTGCAAAGTTTTATGTGTCTAAAAGTTCTAGTTATATGTATCTTACAATTACAAATGTAAAACGGCTAGAGCTAAACCAAAAGCAAAATAAAAGAACCATATTCAAAAGTATCAATTACCTTTTTAACCCATCCAAACTTCTTAGTGTTGTTTCGTACAGGCAATGAAAGCCATCCTTCTAGTCTTGATTCTATAAATAAGCAGAAGATATGAGGATAAATTTACCAATTCTCCTAAGAAAATGAGGAATTCAGTAAAATTTTAATATAAAAATCACAGAACAAATCAAATATGCCCTTCAGAATTTATCATTACACATTATCTAGGCTATAACAATTAAGCAGGATCAGTATAAGCCAAGTTATGGAATGCCAAACAAAATCCAGGTTACAGTACATTGACAATACATATTCTATAGCTTATAAAGTCAAATGCTCCCTGCTGATTAAATTCATGCATCTGCAAAATTCAGCAGAAAAGTACAAGAAAGAGAAGCAGTTCTCTATTCTCACTAGTGCACCTGCATTAGAATTCTTTATTTTTCCTTTGGAGGCCTATTTATTGATACAGTGCATATGTATCTTCTTCAAAGAGAACACATTTTAAGTGAGTAATTACATGTTCAGAGAAAATGGATTTTTTAAATGGCTAAAATAAAATGAAATAAAATTGTGTATATTACAGATCAAATTTGGTTAATGAATAGCAATATAACTAAAATATTTCTAAATTCCAAAATAGCAAAATCAGTAAAATTCGAGTTCAACAAAAGAAACTGCCTGAATCCTCAGAATTTGTTCCAATGGCATCTGATCAGTACCATTTAATGAAATAGTTAGGTGCAACAAGTATTTCTGGAGGTTATTCTTAATAGTCACTTATTGAACTGTGCTAGATGCTTAACATCAATTTTCTTTAATCCTTACAACCCCACGGAAAGGCCACACAGAGATGCACCTCTGACTCCAGAACCCATACCCTCGCATATCAACAACCTTCTAGACTCTATGAACAGAAATGCTGTCATTAAAAACAGCCTATATAACATAACTGTGTCAACATGGCCCTATACTAAATCAGATGATCTCTAACAACAAGTACACTGAATTTTATTGCTAAAATCTAAAACTTCAATACAATCGCTTGTGACTTATGTTATATATGGTTATATAGCTGGGCAATGTGACAACAATGTAAATAACTATAGCTATTTCACTTTGCATTCAATTAGGTAAGAGACTAAATTTTACCTTATGTTCAACTGCTTATACACTAATTTCCTATGGCATTTACATTAAACATGGTTTGTACTTACACGAACTTTGTGTTAAACAGAGATTTTACATGTTTTCCATCTAGTTTCTTCATTTAAACTCTTAAGTCCTTTCAGGGCAAAGACTGGGCCAAATTGTCTTAAACTCTCTTTTATGGCCTAACACAACACTGACTAGCTAAACACTCAATGAAAACCTACCTACATCTTCCCAAACAGTCTAGGTGGGTTTTTTTGTACTGTCACTCTTAATATGAAACTTCAGAAAGAATTTCTCGTTGGCTGAAAATGGATGACGCAGGCAGTAAAACCATATGCTCTTAAATGATACAAAGTTGACAAAATAAGTCTTCAAATGTAATAGCCACGCCATATGACAATACCTTTAAAAATACTTTGTTCATGCAGCATTTTCTTTTTAACGGAGACCAGCACAATTTCTTAGAGTTAGTGAATATTAGTTAATGTTATAAAAATTTTGTAAAAGGACTGAAACTAAGGGTAGTGGGGAAAACCCCAAAAGTGAAAGATTTTCAGGATATCACCTGTACCATTAGGTTCCGATGAAATAGGTAAGTAAGGCAAAGATTCTTCTTCTGAGTCAGAATCAGAGTCAAGAAGCATATGAGAACTGGAAGGCTTAGTGGCAATATTGAGAGAAGTAGAGGAACGTTGGTAGGTGAATGACATGGATTCCATAGTGCGTGATTGAGTGATATGAACTAAACACCCAACATAAAAGGAAGTAAGAATGCAGAAAGAAGTTAAGAGAAAATAAAACGAAAATTTGAAAAAAGAGCTACCTATAATATATAAAGAGCTAATTTAAGGAACTAAATATGTGGAATTTTCTTTTGCATTTTTTTCACAAGAATTTTTGTCAAAAATCAATAAATAAAGTTTAAACAGTTGTTTGAATCCCCACTCCAAGGAATATGTTTTTTCTTAAAGAAATGACAAACATTTTTCTCAGGAGCAGTCAATCTCAGGGCTTAACACAATCAACTGCTTTATATTTAAGACAATATTTCAATAAAAATAACATAAAAGCTGAAAATAAATCTGTACCGGGAAATCCATCATCTGCCTCAGCATCCCCTGGTCCACTGCCTATACTGGAACTATCCAGACCGATATGCAACGCCTGGAGCTGTGACCGCAGCTGCTCAATGTCACTATCTTTACTGTCCAGTGTCATCTGCAGTTCAATTCGAATCTGGCTCTCTTCGGCTATTTGCTACAAGAGATTACATTAAATTAATTGGATGCCATATACCTCATAATTTTGCTTAATTCAGTAACAATTATGAAGTAATAGAAATGTTCTATAACCAATAAAATATATATAGACATAAAAATACTTCTACTTCTTAAAAAGAAGTTTTCAGTCTAGAGTTCAAAAAGTATTCTTACAGCCTGCATTTCATTCAGTTCTTTCTGATACTTGATCATCTGCTGGGTCAATTTTTCACGTTCAGATTTAAGCTCCATATGTAGCTTTCTATTCTCTTTCTCTTTTCTCCGCACATCAGTGTCACTACCACGCTTGACAGGTTCTTTTCGATTCATTATCTCAGCCAACTTATTCACAGCCTTAAAAACATAAAAATATAAAGTATGTAATCAAATAAAATAAATCATATTGATGGTTCCTGATATTTCACCAATAGCAAGTTATATGACCACTAATAATCTCCTTCCCTATACACACAGGGTAACAGAGAAACACGGTCTATATTAAATAATACACTCCTTCATTATTCATTATCCTTCTCCAACCTAGATTAGTTTTTCACTCTCATGTTTTCTGAGAAATGTAATTTAAAATGTTTATAGGGTTGGATCTGATGTCACTTTCTACCACTCTGAGTTTTTAGTTTCAAGAGAGACTTTTACTGGGCAGATCCACTTTTATCCTGGAGGAAGAAAATTTTGCATTGGCGGCATCACATTAGTAAAATACAGTATATGTCCAACCAGAGAACTGAGCATCTGGGACCCACAAAGATTCATGCTGTAAATACACAACCATAGAGTTGGCAGAAAGATGGTTCAAGAGCCAAAGGTGCCTTTTCAGACTAACCCTTTCTCAGGCTGTCAGCAAATGTTCACTCTCTATAATTTCTTAAAAGCAAAAAAATTTACCAGATGACAATAAAAATTTAGGAGGGAATGTGATTTCAATATGGAAAAATTAAAGAAACTTAAACATTGAACTGGACAATGTTAGCCAAATCTAGCGGCTCGCAACTGGGCAAAAACCAGGGAATTGTGATGGTTCACAAACACCAATATACTCAATGACCGCTACAGTCAATCTGCAGAGGGAGACTAAAAAATTTTAAAAATCCTCTTTATAGTTTATCACACTCACTTGAGTTTTAAGTGTTCTCTCTGTGAGCAGCTGCTTCTCAAACTGTGCTTTAATAGCGGCTGCGCTGATCTCCTCATCTTTCAGCCGTGACAGCTCTGAAACACAGGGAAATGTCAAGATTATATTAATAACTACAGCAGTGACAAAACATTAGCCATATTTAAAATAAACTTTATTCTTTGTTAATACATACGTTCTTGGGCATCTTTCAATTTGTTATTTAATTCTTCTTTCTCATTTGCAAGATTGGCAACATCACTAGTTAGTGTCCTATTCGTTTCTTCAAGCTAAAATATGAAGTGGAAAAAAAAATCATATCCCAATTTACAAAATCTAAGTTATAAAGCAATTATTCAAAATAAAATAGACTAGAATGCCACTAAACTCTTATTTTTCTAAGTACATCTATCTCTACACTTTGTGGCTTTGTGGAACCTTATGGAACTTCACCCTTGATGAAAATTGCGCTAACCATCACAGACTTCGTGTGCACCCCAGGAAGCCAAAACCTGCCCCTTCTCTCAAAAATCCTTAGCAGCATTTTTAATGAGAAAAACATTTAAAAAACTAAAAACAAACATTGTAACAAAGCTCTGCATTTCATCATGTAGAATAAACAAATTTTAAAATGGCAGTATTTCTTTCAGAACATTTTAAAACAAAATTTTACTAAAGAAGCTGACATCCTTGTTTATTATTCTCTCCAAATCCTACTCCTACTCTTCCTTCCCATCCGAAAAAAATTGTATTGTGAATTACATGTTCATCCTCCCCACCCATGACTTTTGTTACAAACACATAAAACAGTAAATAGTGTGGTTTTATGTGATTTTAAATTGTCCATAAACAGCATCACACTGTATCTTTCTGTAATGGCTTTCACTGGACATTATATTAAGAATTAAACTGTTGGCATATAAAGATCTTTTTTTTTTTTTTTAAAGATTTTATTTATTGGACAGAGAGACACAGCGAGAGAGGGAACACAAACAGGGGGAGGGACAGAGGAAGAAGCAGCCTTCCCGTGGGGCAGGGAGACCGATGTGGGGCTTGATCCCAGGACCCTCGGATCATGACCTGAGCTGAAGGCAGACGTTTAACGACTGAGCCACCCAGGCGCCCCTTGGCATATAAAGATCTTAATTAATTTATTTTAACTGATACAGTAGTTCCATCTTCTACCTCATTTCATTTATCCATTCATTCGTCTATTGATAAGACATTTGAATTTTGGGGGTGTCTGGATGGCGCAGTCAGTTAAGAGTCTGCCTTCAGCTTAGGTCATGATCTTGGGGTCCTGGGATCAAGCCCCACGTCAGGCCCCCTGCTCAGCCAGGAGTCTGCTTCTCCCTCTCCCTCTGCCCCTCCCCCTCCTTGGGCTCTCCCACTCTCTCCTTCTCTCACATAAATAAATAAAATCTTAAAAAAAAATAAAATAATAAACTTCCACATATTTTAGGACCCTCTCGGGTCCCCTCCCTCTTTGGGAGCTTTGTTTTTTTTGGGAGCTTTGTTTGTTTTTTTTTTTTACTTTAAACAAGTAAAGCGAGAGAGGGAACACAAGCAGGGGGAGTGGGAGAGGGAGAAGCAGGCTTCCCACGGAGCAGGGAGCCCGAGTGGGACTCGATCCCAGGACCCTGAGATCATGACCTGAGCCAAAGGCAAATGCTTAATGATTGAGCCACCCAGGCGCCCTCTTTGGAAGCTTTGTATTATCACTTTACTATCGTTCAATAAACTTTGCTTTGGGTTTAAACTATTTAAATAATAAATATTTAAAATTGCCATACCACTTACTATACTATGCCATCTACATTTACACTCTCCATAGTTGTAGACGAGAATGTCATTTCCCACATGTCTTTCAAACACCTGAAATTAGTCAGATACTGAATTATGCCACTGTAGTGAGTATGAAATGGTATTTCAAAGTTATTTTATCTAGCCTTTCCCGAAAAGTAGTATGTTAAGCATCTGCTTATGTATTTAGGGTTTTCTCTTTTGGCCTATTTTTCTTCTGGATTGTTTAACTTTTTCTTAGTGAGTTCAAAGGAGTACCACATGTGTTCCTGATACTGGTCCCTTGATTAACGAATACATTCCATTATCTTCTCCCCCTAATTTGTTTGTTCTCTTCTGCTACAGTAAGTTTTGGATTTCGTTCTAATTGTTTAAAATTTTTCTTTTTCACATTTAGGTCTTTAAGATAGCTAGAATTTATTTTTGTTATGTTGTAAAAGGTAAGGATCTAACTTTATTCCTTTCCCTATAAAAATAGAGTCATCCCAAACCATTTATTACATCTGAATCCTTTTCCACCGATGTGTCTATTACCACTACAACCATATACCACATTCCTATACGTGCATGAATCTGGTTCTGGCCTCCCTACTCATTTCCACTGAACAGGATTAAATATCCTTGTTCCAATACCACACTTTCTAACCACTATAGCAATTTAATGACAAATTCAACTACTTGATATTTTACTTCTCTTTGAAATTTTCATGACAATTTTTTTCAACCTGGCACAGGAGTACCTTCATGGTAGTTTCAAGATTCTTTTCAACTAAACTTTGTTTGACAAGGAAAAAAAAAAAAGCTTATACTGTTTCTGCGTCTGGTATTTCCCTTTCACTTTAGTTCTTTCACTCTGAATTTACCAAAAGGTAGCGTGCCATTGGAAGTAGTTCTTTTTTGAGCCTCTGTCTGCCAAACACTGAGAAGCTAATGTTCACTGGATCCAAAATCCTATAGCCAGCATATAAGATTTTTCATTTCCAACTGCAGTACTTCCCTAGTGCTTTTAAGGAAGAGTGATGATACAGGAATTTAATTAAAATCAAAAAAGAACTGAAAATTTTACTTACAGATGCAATTGTAGCATCTTTTTCAGTGAGCTCCTGTTTGTGTCTAGCCATCATCTCTTTGATCTCAAGCTCCTTCATGATTTTCTCTTTTTCCAAATCAGAATATTGCTCTTCAGCAATTGAACGAGCCAGCTGCTCTGAATCTGCTTTGGTCAAGGTGATCTCCAGTTGAGCAGCCAAGGAGTCCCTACATTTTAATGACACATTATTTTAATGTCCAATTTTCACTAGGAAGTCCAAGTTTTTGTGTAATGCACTTCATCAACAAATTCTTACTTGGAGTATAGTAGGCACCGTTCTAGAAGAGTACATGACTATGAACAAAAGAGACAAGGATCTTATTTTTACCTTTCTTCCTGTAAGTCCTGTTTCTTCTGTTGTAACTCTTTACAAAGTTTGGTCTTTTCTTCACATTCTTCTTTAAGTTCCCTCACCTGTGTTTTATAGAGGGTCTAAAGAGCAAAACAGAACAGAAACATGTCATTGCCACCACCACCATCACCACCATCATCATCGATTTTATTTCTACAAAGTCTATCCAGACAAAAAGTCAAGTTGGACACATACAAGTATGTTCCTGAACACTGAGTAATACTGGGCCCTTGAGCAAATTAACAGTGAATGAGCTTTTCTGGTAAATCAACCAATTAACTAATAAAAGTTCCACTTGTAATTTAGAAGCTAGATTTTCAACTGGAGATCAGACTGAGGTTTCTCATTAAACGACACAGACTGGCAGAATAAATAAAGAGGCAAAGAAAAATATTACTAATTTGTTTATTTTTTTAAAGTTTTTTAAAATTTATTTGACAGAGAGATAGCAAGAGCAGGAACACAATTAGGGAGAGTGGGAGAGGGAGAAGCAGGCTTCCTGCCAAGCAGGGAGCCTGATGCAGGGCTCGATCTCAGGACCCTGGGATCATGACCTGAGCCGGAAGCAGACACTTAACGACTGAGCCACCCAGGTGCCCCAAAATATTACTAATTTAGACAAGAAAATTTTGTTGGCTTAAATGAAACACAGGTGACATTACTATGTCATATTTTAAAACCGATCTAAAAAAGTACAAACATTAAAATGACAATTTTATTTCTTTCACTATGAAAATTCTACCTCAAAAAGCCATCCTTTTTTTAATCAACTTCATAGGGTATTGTGCTTAGAACTATCATTCTAGCAATGATAATAGATCTCTGTTAAGCTATCAACAGTCATTTGCCCAGCTGTTCTTTTTATATGGGTTGTGTGGTACAAAACATCCTATCCAAATCTCTGTCTGGTATTCACTATAAGAATCTATTCTAAAGACAAGAATCATTCTCCTAGTTCTGCAGCAAAAAAATTTTTTAAATTCTACAAATACGGTAATTTTCAAATTAATGTATCTGGAACTTACTGAGAAATACTGCTCCGCTTCAAGCTGATCCTGAAGTTCTTTCATTTGCCCATCTGCATCTTGACGTTCTCTGTGCGGACATTAAAGCAAAGGTTCAAATAAGCTACACATATAATAAACTCGCAACTCTTGAAATGTGGCCTAGGGAACCACTGGGCATCCCCCGACCCTTAAAAAAAACCCAAGAGGTCAAATTATTTTCCTAATACTAATCATCACTGCATTGTTTTAATTCTCATCCTCTCACGAGTGCATATGGACTTTTCTTGAAGTTATACAACATAATGATTCATCATTTCAACAGCTAATGAATGTGTGTTTGTATGCTCTGGTGTTTTAAAATTTTCCATTTTAATTTCTAACACAAAAAATATCATTAGACATAACTCACATAAAAAAAAATTTTTAAGATAATTTTTAAGAGTATAAAGGGGTCCTGAAATCAAGTAGTGATTAAAGCAGTAATACTAAATTACATATTCTCAAACATTCACTGTGATCAGCCATTTCTGCCAACCAAGTAGGAGAATTAAAAGAGCATCTGAAAATTGGTTATCTTAGGATGACTAAAAAAATGACAGGGAGGGGAGGAAAGGAGTGCTCATTTTTATGTTTAAATGTGGATGTTAAATGTGCATGGATCTGCACATATTAAAAAAATTCACTGAGTGCTACATATTTGTGTATTTTTTTCTATATGTATATTAATCTTCAATAAAGAAATATAGGTAAATAAAAAATAAGTAAAAAAAAAAAAAAAAGCAAGCCTAACAACCCATTTAAGAGGTTGGGTTGAAATAAGTTAAACTTTTGGGTTATTAAAAAAAAAAGAAACATAAAAATTACAATTATTCCAACTCAAAGCTAAGGGGGAAAAATCATGTTGGAGAACAACACAACATATATGATACAATTAAAAAACAAAAAAAACCCCAAAATCTACAAAAAACTCAACCCTATATACACTTATACAGATGTATATAGGAGAGACAAAGAAGAAGATATGGAAGGATAACTAACAAACTGCTACTGTTCTCTCTGGAAAGATGAACTATGTCTGCATTCATAAAGGGGAAATGGGGGCACCTAGGTGGCTCAGTCGGTTAGGCATCCAACTCTTGATTTCTGCTGAGGTCATGATCTCAGGGTTGTGGGACTGAGCCCAGTGTCAGGCTCCATGCTCAGCGGGGAGATTCTTGAGATTCTATCTCTCCCTCTTCCTCCCCACCCCAACACGTGATCTCTTTCTCTCTAAAATAAATAAATAAGGGGTGCCTGGGTAGCTCAGTCGGGTTAAGCATCTGCCTTTGGTTCAGGTCATGATCTCAGGGACCTGGGTCGGGCTCCCTGTCAGCGGGGAGCCTGCTTCCCTCTCTTTCTGCCACTGCCCTGCTTGTGTTCTCTCACCCTCTCTCTCTCAAATAAATAAGATCTTTAAATAAATAAATAAATAAATCTTTAAAAAAATAAAAATAAAAAATAAAGAGAAGCATACACTTTTTCTTTTTAATTATAGTTCTGAGAATTTTATAGGGAGAAAACATTTGAATGCCACTTGGATATTTAAAAACATATACAGGAAGAAAGACTCAGATCAAATGATTTAATCACACTATTTTCAATCTGTGTATTACTTAAGGCTTTTATTCTTATTCTTATTTAATAAAATTTGGTCACTTTGTTTACTTATTGGTTCTTAAAACCTCAATATAAAGGAAGTTATCATTCAATATCACTTGTCTGTGCTGTATCTGTATTTTATTATTAAGGTATGTACTATTAAAAATAATGATTCTTATTTTTCTGAATCAAAAATGTGAAAGATGCTAATAATATATAAAAGGTCAATTTTTAAGATGATCTCATTACCAGCTAAGCCCACTTGCAGCAAACCTCAGTATACTTTTAATATCATGATCTTGACAAGCTGCTATCATTCGTTTATATGTAACTTTAAAAACCCAATATTTATCAGGTATTTAAGAAAAGTATTTTTCAAAAAAAAAAAAAAACAAAAACTCACATAATATGCACATGGTTGCAATTAAATACTACAGAATGCCACAGAAAAAAATTACAAAGAAAGGTAGCAGTCTCCTTATCCACACCCTAGACACCCTAATCCTACTCCCCTAGAGGAATTTACTTGTTTCACTTCTGTGTTCTGTTCTTTTGACAATTACCTCCACATCTCAGCTTATTTAAATCTGGACACAAATTGAAAATACTATTTACCAATCCTCCACTGCCAAAATAGGAAGTGAGCTCTTACCATCCCTAACCTCTCCCCAACCCCTATAATACAGTTGTATCACTGGCCTCAGCCACATAACCACACCTCACTTCCTACTGCATCAACCACAAACCACAACCTCCCACCACAGTTTGTGATGAGAACTGCAACACTCCCATCCTTTATCTTGTTTTTGAAATTTCATGAGAACATGTCTAAATGTGGGTCTCTTCTCATTTATTTCCTTCTGAGTCCTTTCAATATAAAGACTTCTCTTTCAGCTATAGGAAACTTTTTTTTTTAAGACTGTATTTATTTGAGAGAGAAAGAGTGCAAGAGAGAGAGCGAGAACATAAGCAGGGGGAGGTCAAAGGGAGGAGAAGCAGACCCCCCAATGAGCAGGAAGCCTGACCTGGGGCTCAATCCCAGGACCCCAAGATCATGACCGAGCTGAAGGCAGACACTTAACCGACTGAGCCACCCAGATGCCCCTATTATTTAATAACTTCCTCCACTTAGTTTCTCTAGACTTTTTTGGTGCTGCAACTCCTGGGACAGTCTCTGTGTCTTATCTGTTTCTCTCATATCTTCCATGTCATTCCCTCTTGTTCTATGTCTGACGAAATTTCTTTGAATTTTTCTTTGAACCATCCTAGTAAATGTATATGAGTCATTTTTAACCTTTGACAGCTCTTCCTATTCTGGCTGCCCTTTTTGCATTATGCCAGGTTCTTGTTTAATGGAAGCAGTATCTCCTACAAGTTTTTGATCAATTTTAATTATTACCAACAGGCTTTTTTTTTGGTTTGTGCTTCTTTTTGTTAATTTCTCTTCTTTCCTTGATATATTTTTCATCTGGGGATATGTTCCCTTTTTCTTTATCATAGTCTTTCTCTTTCACACTGCACACTATCCTCAAATGCCTAGTGATACTTGGTTATTCACTTACAAAGGAGATGATAGAAATTTTAATCTCTATGCATGTGGAAGAGGTTTTCTACCTGGCAAACTTCAGTTTAAGATGAGAGGTTTAAAAAGCCACATAAGCAGGGGGACCCCTAAAAGGCAAAATGAGAACTCACTCCATACTAGCAGCTCTAATTATCTGCAAAGGGTATGCCCAATTTCTTTCCTTCTTTCTTTCTTTTCTTTCTTTTTCTTTCTTTCTTAAGATTTTATTTATTTATTTGAGAGAGAGAGACAGCGAGAGAAGGAACACAAGCAGGGGAGTGGGAGAGGGAGAAGTAGGCTTCCTGCGGAGCAGGGAGCCTGATGCGGGGCTCGATCCCAGGACCCCAGGATCAGGACCTGAGCTGAAGGCAGACGCTTAACGACTGAGCCCCCCAGGCGCCCCTGAAACATTTTCTTCTTCACTAATACTTCACTTCATACATACTCCTGGCTGCTGCTTCCTCTGACCTGTACATCATTAGTGAGGTTTCCACTTGCCACTACCTCATTTACTAAGGAAACTTCTTGTCTTCCAATCCCTCGTAATTCTTTTATTTATTTATTTATTTATTTGAGAGAGAGAATGAGAGAGAGAGAGCACATGAGAGGGGGGAGGGTCAGAGGGAGAAGCAGACTCCCTGCTGAGCAGGG